CTAAGCCTCGGTCCAATCCCCTAGTCTCAAGCCCACTCCTCGTCCATGCTCCAACCATCACCCCAGGGATCTTATTAAACTTGTTGTACTATAGGTACGCGAGAAGCCACACGTCCTCTAAAGCCCAACGAAAGATCCTCGCGCGGAAATGAGAGCTCGAAGCGTTTCTGACTTAAATAGGACACCGATAATCGCGCGACGCGCCGACCGGAACCATTAAATAACACGAAGCCCATGTCAATCGCGGAAACGCGTTAATCAGCGACTGCACGATGGCGGTAATAACAGCTGGAAAGCGGATCGATAAGAGATGACCCATAAGCGGTGCGCGACTCTTCAACAACCGCGGAAGAACGATCGGTTCCGTATGGGAGTGGGCGAATACAGAAAATACAGAGGATGATAGATTTGTGTAAGTTAGTCATCGAAAGTATGGGCATGATTTATGTATTAATTTAAAATAATTTCTTATTGTGTTAATTATGGATCTCTATGAAGATATTTGTGGTCAAGAAATTACAAGCAGAACCCTTGTAGCAAATTTTTGTATAGAGAAACGTAAATAATGACATATTCGATTAAGTACTTCTGAGTTAGCATTCTTCCTCGGGAATATAAATTTTGATTCCAAATTTTGGTTCTCTAAAGATAACACTTAATCTCTAAAAGATTTCTTCGTCGAATAGTCGAAAGTCCCTTTGATTTAGCAGTCCCCGGTTAATTTCAAGGAGCAAGTTAACTAGTTCACGAGGGATCAACGAAGGGCGGTAATCCTGCGTGCTCGACGACTCATTGGGTAGATTTTTGCGGATGATTCTCGCCCTCCGAAGTATCTCTAGAACTGCCGCGAAGACCTCGTTCCGCGAATTTCACGGACCAACGTTTAATCCTGCTCCGAAAGCCGCGTCGAGTAGCTAATCGAGAGTGCGAAATCCAATCAGCGTCGCAAAGCGGCTGAAAATTAGTTTTAGGCTGTTTATTCGCTATCCGCGTAGCTGAATTACTTTCTGTCCCCCGTTAACCCCTCGTACGTGCTGACGATATTGAAATTATTAATATTCCCAAAACATTTGACGCTCGCTCGGTCAAACAGGAAATTAAATACGATTTGTCCAGTGATAACATTCGCGACGGTTCATTCTTGGGGCAATTCGGAATCAAATCGATGAAAATAATTTGGTTAAATCGCGCAAACTGGCAGCTTTTTATTATGACAGGGGGAATATTCTTTATTTAGTTTCTTTACTGATGAGTATACCGAGGCTCAAGAAATACTTTAAACAAAAATATACATTAAGCATTGTTTATAAGTATTCGTGCATCGTTCAAGCTAGTCTTTATTTATCGTATCACATTCTTATGTTTTTAAGTTCATTAGTGACGTTCATTAGTGACGTTCATTAGTGACGTCAACAAAGATGCCGAAACAGTGCCACGCACCAACAAAAATTCATGCTCCCCCCCCCCCCCCCCCAAAAAAAAAGCGAAGAGAGAAATTCCTCTCGTCGAAGTCGTTTCGATTTTTGTTTTTTAACAGAAAACGTGGTGGCTGTTTCGACCCATGTTTTTTTCTCCTTTTTTTTTCCTTTTTTTTTTTTTTTTTTTTTTTATTCGAAGCGCAATCGGTCGTAATGAAAGCTTTTTATTGCGGACGAAAGTGCACGCGTCACGATGCGGTCGGGCAAAAATGTCGGTTAATGGATCGTTTCGACGGGAAACGGATTTTATTCGTGAATTTTCACAGGAGTTATTAATTTTTACCGGGTTACCCAGCAACAATCGCCTATTTTCCAAGATATTGTTCCATAAAGGAACAAAACGCTGTTCCATTTCCATTCTCTACGATCCCCCGCCGCTGGAAAATACACCCCTCCGCGGAATTGAAACGATCGTTTTCGCGGTAAAAACGCGTAGCCGTTTATTCGTTGGTAAAACAAACGTTAACTTTATTTACGACTGACGTAAACTGTGATATAAAATGAAAAAAACCGTTCGAGATTTGCCTGTAAGTTTCCAGACGAAATTTCGTTCGTCTGTAAATAATACCAGCCTACTTAATGTCCCTATTACCGAGGGAAGATGGCAAGGTAAAAATTTGTAACTGGTAACGAAACTCGATAAATAAAGTTTCACTTAGTTCGAATTAAACACCTTTGCTTGATGCAAAGCAATTTCTGGTTGTCCGAGAGAGAGTGTCTGTGGTCCAGTGCTTTGGTCGCGTCCGGGAGAACGGTAAATTATGCGGGAAATCCATTGTTACCGGTAACAGTAACTGATGACGCAACGGTGAGTCTTGATCGTCGATATTTCAAGATGGTTGGACACGAGTGGCAGACTTTGATGAGAGACGCGGTAGGATGAAATTCGGATTTCGCGTAGTTACTTGTTCCCTTCGATCCATTCGTCTCGCGGGCGGTGATTTATTGTGGTCAACAGCGTGATATACGTTTCTTCGACTGAAAATTTACGTTTCCTCGCGACAGACATCGAAAAATGTCGTCCACGGGAAGAAATCGTGAAACGAATGCCGACAAAAGAGAGGGGAGGTTAAAGGAATACAGCGATCCCTCGATATAGGACCACTGACCAGATCAGCTGGCGCTGTTATATCGAAGGAGGGTCGCGATCTTCTTCCAAGGAACTTTATACCTCGTTAGTTGCACTCTTTCATATCGGCCTTTGGGTTCCGAGTCTGAGTATTGGAACGACCCACTATTCAAAATTAAAATTAGTATATTTTTCATGGTATCTCAACGAGAGTATTATATTGTTAGGTTCGTGAGACTTCCAAGAGGAATACGAATCGAAACTCGACTTCATTCGGACTACTTTCAATTCCAATATGCAATGTATAACTAATAAAAATAGTCCGAACGGGGTCGTGTTATCAGCAATTCACTAATAATATTCTCACGTTCTCAGATTCTATTACATACAAGAAACAAAACTATAATATAAATTCGTACAAAGATATTTCCTATTAGTTTTTCTCAAGTATTCCAATTAAAACATATCGAAAATGATTCAGTCAATGCAACCTTTCTCCCCATTATTTTGAATCGATGAAAATTCCTAATAGACGACTCCCACCTCGACTTGTTTTGATTAGTTCCATCAGGGAGCAGTTGGCTGCAATTCGACGGTATTTTCTCCGCGATTCGTATCGCTGTTTTACGAGCGAAAACCAGACCCCGGCAATGGGTTTCGGATATGGTACGTCCAAACGACTCGAGGTTAACTATCGATAGAACAGCGACAGGGTGCCAGGTCTGGCGATAGTTGGACCTATTCCCTTGCGCCCATCGAATAACCTCAATGATAGCTGGATTTTATGCACCGTCGCGCGTTCACCGTTTCGCCTATTTCCTGGATGCGTTGTAATCGTTTGCACGCCGTGATGCATGCCTCTCGATGATCGATGGGCACTCGCAACGCTCCAAGTTCGAGTGGGAAACAACGTTCGTCTCACTTTCGAATAAGGGTACAGAAAAAATCGTTTCACTCGTGCAAGGATGATTTCCGTGGCTCTCGGGGCTGCGCTCGATCAAACGTCTGACGTCCAAACGTAATTTTATTTTCACCGAAGAGTGGCTCGCATGCAAATAAATAAATATTCATGAAAACAGGCTTGCACGAACAATTTTTAGTACCGTTACGTTTCGATTCCTTGTGTTGGAATTATAGAGAGTGTAAGATGTAAGGTTCCATGAGATAAGTGTGCTTATTATATTAGCTTACTGTGGTAAGCTGAGAGTTACAAGCACCTCAGAGGATTAACTCGGAGGACAGGGATAAAGTGGCACTCCTGAGTTCTAAAGCTAGGTACCCTTAGTAGCGTTACTAATAATAATTATATACCTTACTTGCTTTTAAATAATTATTTTCAAGCTTCGGCCTTAATTATCTTAATTTCACTTTCGCTCCGTTTCGAATTCGAGATTGAAGTTTCCGTGACAGGGACCGAAATCATTGTGTTTCCGGTTTGGCTAAAGCTGCAATTCTTAAAGTTTTTAAGTGAATTTCTTAAGTAAATTTCCTTCGCTTCCGTTTTAGCGCGAAGTTTTTACACCGTTGCGTTCGCGAGTCAATTTCAGTACCAATTAAAAGTTCCGATTCAACTTGCGCTATTCCACTAACGAACAATAAACGTAATTTCTATCGGGGACGACTGGAAATTCGAAGACGGCTTCCACAATTATTAAAAACTTGGCAATATTGTCGCAGAACTTTCCTGGTAAACGAATCATCCCTTCCAAGGGAACTCCATGTCGCGAAGCAACACGTTCGATTTTGTCCACATTCCTTCTTAAATTTGTTGGTACCTTTCGGTGACGTTAGACGCAGAAATTAGAGCTTCCGAATTTTTTGGTAAAACACTCGTGAGTTTTAAAGCAATATGGATGAACACACGTTCAATGAATAGTTGTAATAGTATTTAGTAACATTTAATAGTATTAAAGTTTTGTGTGGGATGTTAAGTTTCGTAGAGAAATTATGGGAAATTATGGGAATTTAGAATTCTGAGCGGCAGTGTACATGTGTATTTCTGTTTTCCTCTATCGCAGGAAGCATGCCAGTTTTTTTTTCCTCCTGCTGTTCGAACCTGGAGGGAAAATTCCAGAATGGGGCGACAGGGCTCCAAGTTTATTAATTTCGGGTAGCACGACGAACGGGACGCTCGATTTAATTACCAAAAATTGTTTTCGCAGTCCCGATCGCGTTCGATTAAATCAGTGGCCCGACCAGCGGAGTGTGGGTTCGCCAGGTTTCATCAGTTCCCCAATATATGCCAAGTTAACCGCGGCGTTCGTAATTCAAAGCCAACGTGTACGCGCCCACGCATCGAGCATCGCGTCGATTTTCGTCGTTAGGAAACAAAAGCCCCGTATCCTCGTAATTTTCGCTTTCCACGGTCAGCCGTCCCTACATTTTCACGAGGCTGAGATCAAAGTGAAAACTTTAATCGTTTCCATGCTAACATTATTTTATTCATTTTTCAGATGGTCTCCTAGTTCGTCAATCATAATTTATCCTACAGTGTCGCAACGAGGCTTCCATCCGAAGATCGAGGTGAGCATTCCTGTATTTGTGTTTCTCGTCAGCCATTATTCCAGAACGGTTAAGGTTTTTCTACTTCCCCCTGCTACGAGTTTAAGAATCAAAACCCTACAGTCAATTCCAACAAAGGTCCACGGGAAAGCAAATAAAAATTCGAGTAGAAGAAGTCGAAAGAAATAGAATTCAATCAAATAAAAGAAAATTTATTATTAGACTTGCACGTGGCGGGAAGGGAAGTACCTGGAGCGGTTGCACTTTTGTTGTTCGCCGATATTCCGGTCGGATTCTTCGCTTTCCCTCCGGCAACGGTGGCGCGGATGAGTAAATATAAAGTGACGCCATCGCGTTCGACGGGGATCGGGAAATACGAGCTCCCCAAACGGATGCTCGATTGCAATTCGCGCTCGAATTACGATTTTCTCTCTATTCTCTTATCGGACGAATTGGCGGCTGCCGATGCAGGTGCATTCGAATGCATCCAACGTTGCGCAGCGGAGGCGACGACTCGATCGCCTTGGCTTTCTCCGTTGGCTTCACTTTTCACGATGATGTTCCGACTAGCAATTTTCTTTTCACCCCGTCTCACCCCCCAAACGTATTTTCTCTCCGTTTGACTTTCTCATCTCGCCTCCCGCCTCGATCGCCCGCATTCCACGCTCGCGCTCCTCGGACACGGTCGATGAATCGGAATCGAGCGCGTTGACATCGTCGCCATCCCCTTTTTAGGATCCTTCTGGACCAGATGACACCCTAATCTTGAGGAAGTACCCTCTTATTCTCGAATTAATATGAAATTAGGAATTAGCAGGGACGATATTCTACATCGGTCTGGGTTTCATAAATTGGAATAGATATATGCGAGTGCAAACATAAGTTTACTAGCGACCGGGCATTAATGTGTTAAAATGGCGTTAGAGGCCAGTAACGGCTTGTTACGGGAGTTTTCGGGCCGGGGAAAGTTCTCCAAGGCAGTTTTGGATTCTTCGATACCAAAGGAGCCTCCGTGGCGCGCAAAGTTTGCAGTTGCGAAACCACCGCGTGCTCCGTCGTCCTCGGCTGGGGGAAGTTGACTCTTCTGACTTCCCAGCCGGAGTCATTATTATTTTCCGAGCAACGCTTCGATTGTTCCGTGCAATTATTCGCGGTTGCCACGCTCGTAAACACGCGACCGTGCACCGATACCTGTTTTTGTTATCTCTGGCTCTCGTTTGTTTAAGTTCGATGGCTTCATTCGGCACTTGGGATCCTGCGCGACTCTGTTTGCAGTCGAAAGCTTAGCGCGACGAGTTGAACTCGTAGATTATATTACGGTATACTAGTTACAGTTTATTATTTCCGAATAGTGCTCGACAGTCGGTGAAAAATCATTTCATACAAGTAACAGTAATATACTTAAAATGAAACGAGATTTCATATCGATCCTAATTAAAAGAAATTAATAACGAAACGCAAATAAATGTATAAATCGTAATGTGAATTATGAAGTGTGTACCTGCATTTGCCTCGAACAATTACGGTTCATACGAATAATTAAAATTAATGAAATTATTCGTCATCATAGATCGTAACAAAATACACGGTTCACTCGCTCGTCACTTATCATTCGAGTAGAATTTTGCTCTTGCGTGCAAGTCCCGTTTCATAATGACGACATTCAGCTCCCCGTAGCAAGGCCGCGACCCGAACTCCGGAAGTTTCAATTTCACGAACCATTAAGCTCCTTTCGATGGCGCGGATCTCTCGGCCGATACGCAACGAACTGCTCGACTCGAATGCGAATGTTCAACGATGGTCACGCTTTCGCGCGATGCAAATCTCCAGTGGCCACGTGGAATTTTCAGACCACTTTGCGTCGCCTTCGCGACTTCCGCGAGTATGTACTCTGTTGCTTCGAGGAAGTGTATCGAAATAGGAACGTGAAACACCTCCGTAGGTACGATCGTACCATCGAACTAGGTCAGGGTATTAAAAACTTCCTGTTTTCACCTCTTCCATATGTCACAGGACGCTAATTTACTGCAGACAAATGACTACTAGTTTCAAAGACACTTTTTAAAAATATTTCACGCGATACGAAATTAAATAATGCACGAAATAATTACTACAATCGACTAGGAACGAACTATTATCATTTTCCGTGAAGAAAAGTTAATTCTTGGATTGTCGGGTGCCAGATTCACATAGCTACTTGAAGGACCACTCGACTCTAGTCCCGCTCAGACTTCAGGGTCGACAAAGACGCTTCCTCTCGGGTTTTCCTCGCCGATAGAGCTTACAACTCCGTCAATGTACATCTTGGACATGTACAACGTGCAGAAAGGCGACAATTCGGTGGTCAGGAAGTAGCCACTAGGAAAAGTCGACCATCGCCGGGGAAGCATCGCTCCTGGATGCAGCTAAAAGGGAAAAAAGGTTACTACTTAGGGGAATACCTGTATCAGGGTAGCAAGGTTTCTTATAGGCGCTATACGTCGTCCCGCTCGTAAAGATCCAACGTGACAGAAAGAAATCTCACGGGAACGGCTGAAACAGCTACTTTAGGAGGCAAAGAAGCATTCGAGCGGTCGCGAGGCTCTCCAGGGGGTTCGTTTGCAAAAGGAAAATATTCTTACGTGTTTTTACAGAAGCAAGAATCGAAAGCGTCGCGATAAAAAGAGACCACGAGGCAGGAGTCTGTCTCTTGTGTCTTTTGCAAGCTGTCATAAGAGAAGGGGAGTATACGGTGAGATATCGATGCTCGTCAAATACGAGGGAGTGAATTTGCATCAACATCTGCGGAAAAGGCGCACAGGGAACCGATTTCTGTACGAGAAAACCGTTCGTTTCGCGCGAGACGCATCTTATCGTTTAAACTCTCTTTCAAGTTCGGTGCTTTAGACGCTACACTAGCTTTATACCTTTATAACATTATAAGTAAGTCGTTTCGCAACAAGAAAGCTTCGATTTTAACGTATGCTTCAAATTCTCGCTTTCGCGGTACCGAAAGTGAATTGGAAGTGTTCGATGCGAATTCTGATCAATATTAGCAATTAATATTAATGGTGCTCGGGAAACTCAGCGTTGTAGACACGGCCGGTTCGAGCAGAGGGAATTGTTAAAATATTCTCAAGTCGAAGTTTCGTTCCAGCTTCCTCGGTATGGCCAGAAATAATTAAAAGCGTCGAAGGGGGGCACGGACGTTCCCGAGACGTCTTTGCATTCGCCGAAGGTGCAATCGTGAATGGATTTAGGCTGCGTTCTTACGAAAGAATCCCCGATGGAAGTTTGGAGAGATATCGGGAATCGGTGGGAATTTCGCTCGGTCAAAAGGATTCGAGTGGGGATGTCAAAACTCTCCCCGGACTACGTCGGGAAATTCCCCCGGAGTTTGGATAGCACTTTGCCCGCTACCGTCTTCGTAATTTGGACTTATAATTACCCAGCCGGATGCTGCTAGTTGGCTCGCACCGCGACGTGGGCGGGTCTTGTTAAAAGTCCCTCGCCGCGATTACTCTCGTTCTACCGACAACGAAATCTGTTTACACGATACTTCCATAGAAGCTCGTCATGTTCTGAAACGTTCTTGCTTTTAAAGTGCCCTCGTAAAGCGATCTTAATAATATCTTCTCCTACTCGTGCACAATTTTAAGACCATCCAAAGATGGAGTACACTTCTCTTCTTTACTTTCCCATTAATAACAGTCCGTCGCTCGCTAGATAATTTGGACGGTGCAAATTTATTTCGTTCGAGGGCTCGATGTAACCCGTATGTGCTCGCTTCGTCTCCGTCCTCGTAGCAGGGCAAAGTTTAGACCGCGATAACGCCGGAAGATAAATGAAACGACAAGAGGACGAAGGGGATTTGTGCTTCGTTGAAACTTTTCTCGAGTCGTCACGCTGACAGCGCCACGACACGGGTCACGAGCGAATGGGTCAAAGGGTGGACAACCCCTTCTCGAGGAGCAGACGAAAGCTGGACTATCCCCTACATATTGACCGAATCGCTCGCTGATTTATTCGCCGTGGAAGCATCGAGGAACTGGACGATCGAGTTGCTCCCAAAATGGGACCTGCTGGGAAAGCAATTCTTCACTTTTTCTTTTACGTAACTATTGTGTGGACCCTCTCTACTTTTTTTTTTTTTTTTTTTTTTTTTTATTTTCAGTTCCACATATCGAAGTTTCCTTGGTGATAATTCTTCCGGATACTTGTAAACGAAGAGATTCGAATATTCTTTGTACCTCGTTGGATCCTGAAGCGTCTCCGAGCAGACTTTCTCTCGGTGTTAGCGAAAGATTAATTTCGAAGAACGCCTCCTCGTCGAGGCGGAGAGAATTAATGGTAATCCAACCGTCGGATGTGCGTCTTTGATTAATCGAAAGAAATCACGGCACGAGAACCCTGGCAAGAAAACTTACACGGGGGTGATTTATCGTTTTGTCCAAGCGGGGGAATTGGGTCCACGGTATCAGACATTTCTTTCGTCTCTTGATAAAACGAGTAACCGTACATAAACTTCCTCTCGTGTACGGGGTGAGTCGTGAATCGATCGTCGCGATATTTCAGCTCTGATAGTTTGACGCAAAAAAAAATGTTTCAAACAAAAATTCACCGACGTCAAATGCAAGCGGAGAAAAGAATAATGTATGGTACTATTTAAACAATAAGAGGTGAATACGGATGGCAGAAGACGAGAATCGTTTCCTGAGATAAAAGTGTTCGTCTCCTCTAGCTGAGAAACTCGTGGATGAGCGTTTTATCGCTATCGTTTACTTTCAATTTTAACTTTACGGTCGCGAGGGCTTATTGGCGCTTCCAGCGCAGCTTCATCGAGGTTTAAGCTCTCCCTCGAACCATAATTGGCATTATTCCTTTAAAGATGGACCGCCATAAGACGGGCGACGAGTTCCCCCGTAATCGTTAAACCTGTTTCGCTGCGCGAGCCGTCTAGATTTGCTACGCGAACTCGTGTAGTTTATTTTTTCTGCCGACTGAATTCAGGTAATATCATTCCGAAATATAGATGCCGAAATTTAAAGAAGACGCCTGGTATATAATCTTTAAAATTTTGTTAGATTAAAAAAGATTAATTACGAAATGAATTCAACGTGAAAGCTTTTCCCGAATAATATCTCGGATAATATCGACTCTATCGTAAATGTTAATACCAGAAGAAAGTTTCGAAATTGAATTTGCAACATTTTCTGTTCCATTAATTCCCGCCGTAAAAGCAATATTAAACGCGATATCGCCCATTATATCTGCTCCATGCGCGCGCTTCGAATGGGATAACGATCGGAGACAATAAACAGACCCACCTGCAGGTTATTTGAATAAATAATAAAATTGAGAGAACGTAGTCGCGATATAAGCGACGACAGACGTACCAACACGCGTATTACACTCATTACGGCATGTGTGAGATTATTAAAACAGACGTTCTTAGGGGCGAACGTCGCGATAATACAAATTGGTCGTTTCACCGTCGAGGGAATACCCGCGGAACAAAGGGCTCGTTATAAATTTTACGTGCTTTAAATTAATCGCTTTACCGAATCCGTGAAATTCGTGAAACGTTTCTCTTGGTCCTCTCGAGTAAATCACGGGACAAGGGCGTACCGCGTAATTACAATTAATTAAAAGTTCGTTCCGCGTGTCGAGTAGCCCGTGCATCATGCCAACGTTAATTTCGCGAGCATAGACCATACTCGACGGGAACGGACACGTTTGTGTCGCAATTTTGAGCAAACTTTTATGGCGCGAACGTGTGCTAGAACGAGTTTCGCTTCCTTCCTTTTCGTTTCTGGTGCAGGGAATCAATTTAATTCTTTTTCTCGCTCGTCGATATTGCTAGGTTTGTCTTGTTTTCAACAACTATCAAACGTTGCTTGAGATTTATTGCGCTTTAAGCAACATTAAGATTTACCCGGCTTGCAAACGCGCACGTGAAGGGACTCTCGAATCGCGGGGGTTAGGAAAATGATGAAGAACCCTGGGGAAGTTCGGAGGAGAACTCGGTGACAAACGGGTGATCCTGGATTTCTTTAAGTTGGGAAGAAGCTTCTCACGGAGTTGCACTCTTTTTTCAGGGACCGTCTTTATTTCATTCTTTCCTTTCGAACCGTATTTCACGAGGGGAGGCGGCACCGACACGTCGAAGCTGAACTCGGAGCGCGTGAAACGAAGACGATGATTAAGCGTGGATCCGATTTACGAGACATTGCTTCGCGCCGTGTACTGCAGAAACGAGAGAAAGTTCTGACGGGAGATTTAACTCGTGTTCTGTAACGGGAGTGATGAGCTTGCGTGCTGATATAATTCCGTGCCTGACGAGCCATGTACCCGTGAAGACGATACTGCTGCTCGGGGAGTTAGGCTAAATCGCGTTTGACTAGATCGTTTGCCTAAACAACGCAAATTCAACGGTGAGTTAGCGTTTTAGCGTTTTAGTGCATTTCTTTAATATTCTAATTCCAATCTACGATGTCCCTGAAATTCATTGGTCGTATTAAAATTCACTTCGTGTAAACATACCTTGAATCCACTTTGAATAACCATACACCTACCTTTATTCGTCGACTAAACGAACGGCACGCTCCCCCAAAACGTTTCGTGGCGCGTGTCGTTAAATTATGCCGCACGTTCGCGTCACTCCGTATTTTACCCGTGGCCGACGATTCATGAAACCTAAGCTAGATTCGAATCTCGGTAGTGTTTTACGCCACCGGTAAGACACGTGTTCGCCGACGCCTGCGGTACTTGGTATTCGCCGCGCAAACCGTCGAGAGTCCGCGGATAGCTTTGAAAGTAGTCGAGCCTGGTTCCAGGCATTCTAAGAAGCCTGGTGCCGTTGGAAAGTTTTCGATTCGGAAATCCGAAGAATCTGTGCTGTCTGGAGAGCGCCGTTTGGATCTCGTTTACGTGCATTCAGAGGAGCAATATTGGCAGGTTTCAGATTTAATTGATAGCGAATTGATCTATTCGGAACACTTTGCTCGAAGTTCGAACTAGCTAGAATACATATACTACTTTAGAGAATTTATTTTCCAATTATGAATTTCATAAATTTGACGATTCGTTAAATTAATTCGAATTTCCAAGCGAGTTCAACCTCTCGGGTATGTTATTTAAATGTGGTTACTGTATTATTACAGTGCATCGATTGTACAATAATTAATTGCACGCCGAGTGCATTTTCGTTGCTGCTGTAAACAGTGATAATAATGGAAAATAAATATCGAGCATCGTTTGCTATTACAAACGAACTTGTATCTCATTTTCTAGGTATATCGCGAAATATATCGAACAGAAGACTATCGGAGGTGCCCCACAGGGAGAAGCGATCCTGTCCTTCCTTGAGCTACGTGAAATAAATAAAACTTCGTTGAAATAAATAAGCATGCACGAGACGCTCCTGTAAAAGCCCAAACAGTTCGATATTTCCGATGAATATTCCAGCATGGTCGACAATCGTTTGGAGATCGGCCGAGGAAAATGGGTTAACCGGACGAGGAGCATCCCGTCGTCGTTTTCGATGACAAAAGTTGTTTGCCAACGGCCTTAGCACCCCGGTTTTGTCGCGTAACAACAGGACAACCGGCGACAACCCTGTTCCTCTCATGCATAATGTATTCATTCGCCGTTGGCGTCGGCGTGCACGATAAAGCCGTATCATTGTTTACGAATCATTGAATCGACTGAATGAAATTACACCGATACGACCTGCTGCCGCGGAAACTTTCGATCCACGTGTGCCGCGGCGAGCCACTCCGCTCCGAGCGCTTCTGTTCCACGCTGCAACGTGTTATTTACAGCCGGATGCTGCGAGGGAGTTTAGCGAATCCGAGCATACGTTCCATCCGGAGCTCTCCTATCTCTCTAGCCGTGTCCATGACGTCGCAGAGGAATCACCGTGCTTCCGAATGCGGCAATCTCTATCTCCAGCGTCGCGACCAAGATTCGAGTTACTCCATTTCATCTTCGTTCCACTGATTCGACCTGAAGGTTCTTGAAGACGTAACTGAAATGACGAGGAAGGACTCGAGGAATCATCGAAACGGATGCTGGGTTCGAAGGCACCAGACAATGGGATCGGTGAACTACTTCGAGTTTTGCGTGAATGATAAGCTTTTTGTAACGCGCGAGTTGTTATTAAAACCTACGGTATTTATATTTTAATTTCTGTGGGGAGAAGTGTTCGTGTTTTAAGAGCCCTGCGAGGAATCTGTAGATTCCAAGGATCAATGTTCCATGAAATATGCGCGATTCGTGTCCAACCATAAACGGGAATTATTTCAGCGACTCGTCGCGATGACGGGGAAAAAGTTCGCGCGGATCAGCGCCGTGATAGAAATGGGTTGGTTACATCTGCATCGGTAGCGTCTGGGACGAGGAGCCGATAGAAAAAGGTACAAAACCCGTTCTAGTTCATTGCGATTTTATTATTCGCCCCCTTCCTCGCCCCGCTCGCTAATTGTACCTTTTCTGCATCGACAGAGACCTTTTGTTCCAAGTTTTTACACACTTTGAAAGTCTGTGAATCGCGGCGTTAAGGTTCCATTAACGCGATTAGATGGACCAATGAAAGAAGCTTCACCGTTCTATACTCGTTTTATCTCGTTTAAAATAACACCCAGCACGGTCTTTCGATGCTTCCCTCGAATTTTTTTTGAATTTTTAACTCGGGAGAAGGGACACTATTATCCCTTGTTTCCTTGGTGACCGTTTGAATCGCAATCCAGCTAGAAGACGGTCCTATCGATTTTACGTTGCGTAGTACTTGACGCTCGAACGCGAGTGAGCTAATTTTAGAGGCACGATTTTTATGATTCTAATTTTCCTCGTAAAAGATATGTATACGCGTGGACCGTACACATACTCGATGTATTTACCGAATTTCTGTAATGGAATAATTAATAAAAAAATGTTCACATAATTTGTCTTTCATTTCTGATACATTTCCCTTTCATTTCCCTCAATTTCCTGCTACTTTTCCCATTAATTCTTCTTCATTGACTGGCACATTTCCCATTAATTTTCCTGCATTTCCCAGCATTTTTCCCTTTAATTTCCCTCTAAGCCCTACGGTACGTACATGTTCCTCCTTTTTTGTCTTACGTATCGAATATTGGTCAGAATTTGGCTCCTGGTATCAGGAGAACATAATATGCGATGAGGTGGCACGTTTGCGCCTGCGAGCAGGCAACCGGCTCGACATACCTGTTAGTATAGGTTGCCTAGTTCAAGGGGCACATTTTCGGTACG